AAGACCCAACATGCAATGTTGGCTTGTCGGCTAAGTTGAGGACCTTCGCTAGCACATTGTTGTGTGGCTAGGCACCTTGATGACATAAACCTAAGTTGGGCGAGCACCTTGCTTGAGGTAAGCTTGGCGCTATGAAGCGACTTATGCCGTGCTTGGTACACTTGAGGCGTCAGGCCTACTTGTGGCCTTCTTTGTGAAGTTGTTTTGCTTGACAAAGCACTGGGCCCTAATGTTCAAACGGGTGAGATCATCAACACTCGATTTGTTAGTGAGCTATGGCGGGCTTAAACTTGGTGGAGTTTGAGCGCCACACGGGCAAAAATTGATTCGCTGCGCCTCTAAAGGAGTCGGCCCGTGACACAAGGCCAAGGCCAAGCATGCACAAGTAAGTTTTTTCTATTTCTTTTGCCTTTTCATTTGTGATTTTTATTTGTTTTGTCTATCCATTTATGATATTGATATGCATATTTATTACCTTACTTTGGTTTTCAAATTAGGATATTCCAAGAGGGACCTCCCCAATGCCTACTAAGTGTGTGACACAGGTCACACAACATCATGTTAGTTATGCACTTAGTTATGAAGTTACTATGAATTTATTTTCTTATTTTTTTCAGCTTGCATGAATCCAACATTGCATTTTTGTTTATTTGTTTGTTTGTTTGACTTTTTTTTGCAGACGACTTAGCTAAGCTGTTGATATTTTGGATACAAAGATTAACATAGGTTGAAGGTATAAAATATATGTTGCTTTACTATACAATTAGTGAGGATCATGTTCCACTTTTTTGTATTTTTGTAGTGGACATGCAATGCTAAGAATAGCAATATGATGATGTGGCCACTTTTGTTTTTTTGTAGTGGCCATGAAGTATTTTATAAATACTCATTTTGGGAACTTACATGATGTAATTGCATAGACTTGACAAATATGGTCCATGGAATGATGTAACTAAACATATATGATAGGAATGATGTAAGTAAACTAATTGAACATATATGATGGGAATGATGTAATTAAACAATCCTACTTGATGTTTATATGATGTAAGGGAATGGTCTTTATGTTTAAAGGTCATTATGTTAGTCAAATTAGATGTGCATATTGACATAATGCTGAAATAACTTCATCATATTTATATATGGTCCATTACAAAACATAAGGTCTATTACAAAATATTACAAAACCTTACATAAGGTCCATTACAAAATATTAGGTAAATCATTACTATTACATTTTGAGAGCAACCATCAGGGAAATCAAACATAAAACAACATTCATGATAATTATTATCTTCATAAACCCCATGTTTGCTTCAAGTACTTGCATCCTTGTTTGCATAACCCCCATTTGGTTCATTAAATTCATTGCATGACTTTCTTCTTCATAGGATAAAGTGTGTCTGTTAACAACTGCTTAAGTATCTTTTATCATCATTTCTCCTCCAACAGATGAGTTTACTGGTTTGCACCAACCCTAAAATGAGCATTTCCCATTTAGGCATAAAAAATACAATTTGCCTCTGTTTTTTTTTTTTTCCTGATTCAGTGACTTTAATTGTTAGTTTTGCTCTCACAGTAGTGCTTAAGTATCTTTTATCATCATTTCTCCTCCAACAGATGAGTTTACTGGTTTGCACCAACCCTAAAATGAGCATTTCCCATTTAGGCATAAAAAATACAATTTGCCTCTGTTTTTTTTTTTTTTTCCTGATTCAGTGACTTTAATTGTTAGTTTTGCTCTCACAGTAGCAGAGCTTGCTTCTATATTTCATCAATCCTCCTCTATTAGATGATGACATATCCATCCAATGAACCTACATTCATGAAATGTGAGAGTTATAATGCATTTTCAGAGCATATATTGCATTTTATTGTTGTTGTGCTTTATTTCTGAATAATGGGACACACCTATGTTGGATGTTTGTGCTTTATTTGTTGTTTGTGATTTATTTGTCAATAATGGTTGATGTTGTTTGTGCTTTGTGCTTTCAAATTATTATTATTATTATTATTTTGACTGGTTAATTGTTATTCACATGTATTTTTTTTAAAATAGTTGATGTGAGTGGGAACATACCTGTGTTGTGCTTGGACCTCTATTTTCTTCATTTTGTTGTTCTTCAATTTTTTTTGCCTTTGTAATTTTACCTCTTTCACTTGGATTTGCTGAAGCTGGAGAACTCTAGCATTTGGTATATATATATGGGTTGAGGGCACTTGAGGACATTAAGGGCATTTAAGTGTTTGCATTTAATGACATCAGCAAGGTTTGTTAGGTGAATAAGTTGTCAAATTTTGAAAAAATCTTGACATTATCAGATAAAGCAGGAGAAGTTATTATAATTATTTAAATTATAGGAGAAATTTCTGTATTTATCAAAAATATTAGTGAAGGTAAATGTAATTTTACCCTATAAATTTTGTCATGATAAACGACCATAAACATGTTCTGGTTTGTCACAGTAATTCACAGTGCTAAGCTCAACAACAATGATAGAGACCACTAATTTTGGAACTCTAAAAAGATCACTAATGACATGACACTCAATATAAAAAGAAAAAAAATATAACACCAAGATCAAAACATCAAATCATTTATGGTGAGACCCACTGCCACATCATTAGTGATAATCACTCATTTTCCAGAGCTCAATTCATTGGAATCATTTCTGCAGCTTTTCTCTTTTTCAAAAGAACATGTCGATCCCCTCCTCCTCTGGCACCAGCAACGAAATCATGCCGATCGAAGACACACTTTCTCCTCCAACAATCTGACCCAGATCGCGATATCCCATAACGTTAACAACCGCATCGACCCCACATCAAATGTGTAACGCCCTCAAAAAAAATAACATTAAACCCATTAAATAAGACATGCATTGATATTCAAAAGTTCCACATTCTTTCATTTCTCAGAGTTCCATTACAAAAAGTATTACATGTTAACAACAAAAGCAAATGCCCTATAGGCTTACAGCTTTCCAAGTTAACACTTGGTTACAACAAAAGAGTACTAACTCATACACATTAAGCCCTTGGCTTGAATTTACATGTAATACATCAAAAATAAAACGACGAAAGTATGCCCGCCTCTAGCCTCCCAAGCTATGTCCTTGGAGGTGGCATGCAACCTGTACCTAAAAATGATAATCTCATATAGGGTGAGCCACAGCCCAGTAGAAATACACTAAACCAACCATGAACAATGACTAAAAGATTAGCAATTGATAGATGGCCAACACTGATACAATCACATAAATCACCTATTTATGTCATACGACTTATGAGTCCAAGATTACTTTTCATTTTCCCTTTTTCAACAGATATGCATGTTAGCTCTATCATTATTTCAACAGATAAGCATATAAGCTATATCCACATTCTCAACAGATATGTATAACAACAATATCCCACTTTCACAGATAAGCATATAAGCTATATCCACAAGCATATGAGCTATATCTATAAG